ATGAATGGTGGTCGAGTAGATCATGTTGTGCGGGGTCGAGAACCCTCACTCCGCGCAACGGGGGATGATCGCACCACGTTGTGTTAAATAGTCAAGCACCCTCGAGGCAGCTACACAGTGCTTACAACTGTCTCTGGAAGTGAAAGCACCAGAAAATAAATTAAGTCATACGCAGCTGTCAGCCGTACGCAAGGAAGTAAGCACAAGACGCCATACACCCTTAGCAGGATGCAGCGCACCCTTCATGCGACTCGCCGAATACCTCACGGCGCTTCGCGCTTGGTGATGTGAGAGCCTGGTCCGGTGAGAACCCGGCGTGCTCCGTCCCGGCTTTGTAGAGATGCGAGGTCAATGGTCTAACGACTACGGCATGCACGACTATGAGTACCTCCCCCCCCCCCCAAATAACCAGAACAAGAAGGAGTTCACCGGGTCGACTTTCCAGGTCTTCATGAAGGCTGCGGAGGGGCTGAAGGACGCGGACTGGGCGTTGGAGCTCCACGAGCAGTCCCTCGAGGGCAAGCAGAAGCACGGGCGGTGGTTTCACCCGATCGCCCTGCAGGTCTTGGCTGAAGCCGGAAGACTAGAGGAGGCGTTCAGGATCGCTGAGGTGTGTACGTACCGTAGGATTACGTGAGATGACACACCCCCATGGGTCGATTTTCAAGGCTTGATTACCGTTTACGACACAAGATAACACACCCCGTGGACCGATTTTCAAAGCTCGATTACGCCACGACGAAGAACATATGTAAACGAAACGATACATTGTCGGAAAGCTCTCGACAAGGCGGCTTCATCGAGGCAGTTTTCGGCCCTGTGACTCTCTCTGCTGTCGAGAAATCGAGCTTTGAAAATCTGTCCATGGGGTGTGTTATCTTGTGTCGTATACGGTATACTGTACCTCCACGATGAAGAGGATGTCGATATCACAGAACACGTTTTCGAACAGCTCGCTCGTGTGTGTGATTGTTCCAACAGGAAGTGTCGGTTCGTGCGTAGAGAGTAAAACGCGGCGGGGCGACTTCGATGGTGCATGCGGCGTGTTACCCGACGGTCTTGCATCTCTGAGGTTACGAAACTATCACAGACACAGAGGGCTCCTCTCCGGGAGTCGAGGAATAAAGGCAGAAGGACGTGGCTGGAATAAAAAAAAAATGACGTCCGTTGTTGGTTGTTCGGAGAGCTGTCGTTGGGTGGGTCCGCAGCTACTGCTGTGTCGTCGTGCGTGAGGTTTAACCTTGGTTTTTTGTAGGGGATACAAAGTGGGACCGGGGGATAGGGATAGGGGTACGAAGCCCCCCTCTCTAATTCGTGAGACTGTGTACAGATTTGCTCTAAATCATGTAAGACTTGTGTAAAATGTAAGACTGTGTACAGATTTTGTGAAGTTTTCTCTTGGGGTTTGTTCAGGTTCGTTCGACTGCTGTAAGCGAGTCACAAACATGTCAACTGCTGTGTGAGCTGTTGAGCTTGGGGAACGCCACACCACGGCTGGCAGCAGCTGTCGGTCGATCCTTGCCGGATTATTTAATTTTAGTCTTCTTGCGTCACTCCCCTTGATGACACTGCTGTGCTCTCATGAACCCGCTCCAGAGGCATTCCTTGTAGATGAATACGTAATTAAATCCTCGCGAAGGGGGCCCTGCTGCTGGGATTTCGTAACCGAGTGAGTGGAGAGAGCCGCGTCGGAAAGGGTGGCACAAGACACAAGAGTAGCGAAGAAGACATTACACGCACAGAAGATTCCACAGCCACGTAAGATACCACGGATGCATTTATTTTTTTGTTTATTTATTTTCTTCAAGAGGACATACGAGAGAAATCCATCTCTTCCGCAGATACAAGAGACAGAGTTCCGCGGTAATTTAGACTTGCAATTTATTCAAGTAATTCCTTGGCTTGTGCTGCTGTGCCGTGCCGTGCGAACGCGCGAAGACCCTACGAACCAGTGGCCACCCCAAGCTACCGCCAACGAGCTACCACGTCCTTTGCCGGTGTTGCAAGCAGCACGGCGAAAAGGCGCTCGTCGTCAAGGTCGTACAGGTTCGTTGCTGGTCTTGCTGTTGTTGGTACTGTTGTTGTTGTTGCTGCTATCGTTGCTGTTGTTGGTGGTGGTGGTAGTCTTTACAAAAAAGAATCATAACCTATAATTGATAATTGATAGTTTTTTAAGGTGTTGACTGTTTGGTTATCGGTGCAGGTTACTGTTGATTTCTAGTCTTCGTGCTGCTGTTGGTTATCGTATGGTTGAAAAAAACTCGGCCCCTTCGCTGTTAAAAAAACATTGACCACGTCAACGGTTGGCATCACCTGGCCCTTAATCCAGGAGACTTTTTTCTTACCTATTTTTTTTTAACAAAACAAAGGTCAGTTTTACAGAGGTATTCCACACCAAAACTGCTGTTGCAGCCCAAGAAACTAAAAAAGACGAAAAATGCCTCCTTCCTTCGTTCGGCTCGGCAGACCATGCGTAAGGGCACGATGAGCCTGTACTTGCCTCCCCCAGACGTGCTGGGCTTTGTGGTGGAGGCCTTCATTGAGAAGGGAATTCCGGGCGAGGTGTTGACCTTGTTCGAAAGGATGCGCGCGCAGGTGTGTTTTGGGACGGCGACGTTGCGAGCCCAGGATTTCGTATTTTTTGGTGGCGCCCCCCCCCCGCCCCCCGTGTGTGTCGCTGTTTGATCAGCTGGGATGCCCAATCAATCATCCCGTGGGGGTTTTTTCGTGTGTTCCGATGGCGATGGTTTTTACTGCTGCACCTGGTCCGGTGAAAATGGTGTGACGACTGACGACTGTGGCATGCACGGCTATGAGTGTCCCCGGTGTCGCTGTTTCGTCGGCCGGGATGCCCAATCAACCCATGGCATATCTGCTGTGTG